GCACTGGTGTTCATTGCCGAACGATGCATACTGGCGTGTTGTGAGAGGACGCGATAGATTTTTGGCGAAGTCATCGGTTTACCAGATGCAGGGTTATCTGATAGATTGACATGATGAGAAAATTGAGTGGTAACGTTCATGAGTGAAAGGAATAGGTGGAAGGTATTCAGAAGGAACAGTAGGTTGAGGTCATTTACTAAGAAACTGCTTGGTTTGCTGATGTTGGATGATTCATGATTCTATGTCAGCAAATACGGAATGCCCAGAAATTAGTAACCAAACTCTCAAAAACTATTTCATAGCTGATGATAAATTGGGAAAATCCAAGGGAAATCTGCGAAACAAAAGACCTGTTCCACGGGTATTGTGGAATACAAAACGTGTCCCTAGAATAGATTTCTGGACAGAGTCAATAGAAATTTACAAGTAAGAAGATCGCCTTCATTTGATCAGCGATCAGTGATAAGGCACATGAAAACTGACTCCAATAGTCAACTTCATCAGGATCCGTTGGTGGTGTCAAATGAAAATTCGATGCATCAGTTGCGTTGCTCACCGAAACACTTCGTCTATTCAGCGCATGACTTGGAGCAATCGATGTCAGCTGCTGAAATTAGACGGTATCAATTTCTAACCGAAGATCCTATCTGGAAACTATACCCTAATGAGTTCAACATCATTAATTACTATGCGTTGAGCGAGTCGCGAAGGAATTATGAATATCTGTTGAAGATAGAAGTAAAACGATAAGATTATGAATAGGTATCAGTAGAACTTGACCAACGAGTCGATTAATGCTACCTTATTTTTGAGTACTAAGAATTCTTTTAGCTCTTAAGACAAAGCAGAATAGAAATGAGTGCTGAAGAGGAGCAATATTACGTGATCATCGGATTGAATGATACTCCAAATAGCGCAACGCCATTTTGCGATTTCATTTTTACCACGAACGCACATCACCAGCGATTCACCGCATTTGTGACGAAGTGTTATCAGACATCGAGGCTGTAATTTCGATGCAAAGATAAATCTTACAGCTCATTACTCTTGAAGATTTGACCTTTTGCTACGATAGACACGGACTATTACAGTTATAGTATTGGGATAAAAATCATACGAGAGCATGAAGTGATTTTTTGAAAACAATCACTGTGAGATGACTTCAGGTTGACATTTTGATAAAGCGAATTAAGTGAACATGTCAATTATAATATTTCAGGTGGAGGTAGAGAA